ACGCCCATCACAGGCAAGTCCGTGGGCCTTGCTGGGCCTTCTTTGCACTGGTGCTGTTGTTTCCATCGATGGGCAGATCAGGAGAGCGTTTGAAGCTTGGGGTGAACCTGTGGCAGTGTGCAGCTGCAAAGGGCAGGGTCATACTGGGGGAGCTCCATGGCCATAACCTTGAGCAAGGACCTTTGGAAAGTGGTCTTGGAAGGCCACAAAAAGCCATGTTCCTCATTAGTTGGCAGGATGAGTCCACCGGCGCTCGTGTTGGCGCGGGGCTGAGTCGGTTTGTGGAGGCGACCCTCCAAGCCATCGCCATCACGCGCCTGCGGGACGACGAGGTGGCCCTGCTCATAGATCCGAAGCTTCGCACAGGGGCCTTGGATGAGGCGCAGGCGTTGGAGAAGCGCCCGGTCACGCTCAACGCCGGGAAGGCCGGTTAGAGGGGAGTTTTTCCCAGCGATGGAGAAAATTCCTTTCAATCAGAGTCAATGCCTGGCCAGTGCTTGCGTCTAGACAATACGGGAGATCTTGAAGGGCGCGCAGCGGAAAAGCAAAGCCATCTTCCACATGTAGCTCGGCTGACTCGAAAGGCTGTTTTCCAGGTGTCCTGAACACTGTTGTTTTCTGGGCCAAAAACAGGTGTCTTGGGACACCAACAAATGGTCTTGCGAGTACGTTGAGCTGTTGTTTAGGAGCGAACTTGTGTAGCGTGGTTTGCGTAGCCACGCATGCGTTGTGTGTTTTGTGGCAAGCTCCCGCCCTGCCAAGGAACGAGCGTAAAGGAATCGTTTTCGGGCGCCGCTTCCCGCCTACATGCTAAAATTTGATGATTGGCGGTGTTGTTTGGCTTGATCCTTGCTGGCGGGAGTGTGTGTGCGTGTGTGTCTGTGTAACTGCACACATCGAAGCGTTGTATGGAGTTCCCATTTTGTCTCAGGGAGTTGGCGCGGGCCTAATTCCGCCCAGCTGTTGGGGGGACGTGACATTGTGGACAGTTGCGCAAGCTTGCTTACAGACTCACAGTCGCTCGCGCCTTGCGCGCGGGCTGCGCCTTCTTGTCCTGAAGTTGAACATCCAGCGCATTGCGTTGCGCTGCGCGCTCTTCGGTGTCAACATGCACCTGCCATCCTTGAATGTGTGTTGAAATTCAAGTTGGTCGTGCTATGCTTGCGGATGAGCGGCCGGAGGACAGCGTGCGAGGCTACACGCTGGACAATGAATGTGAGGCGAAGCTTAGCCTTCCATTTACTCAGTTTGTCTGTGCCACATTGTTTTGCGAGTATGCTTTTTGAAGAAGTGCTTCGGAGCTCGGCGGATCATTCGAGTTGGGGTGCTGTGTCTTACGACGACGAGGGCTGCGAAGCGAAGCTTCGCATGCATCTTGAGTCTTCAACTTTTGGGTAGCGTTTCAATGCTGCTCTGATGTGTTGTTGCTTACTGCAGTGTTCTTTCAGCATGCCTTGTTGCTCGCTTCAAGCATTATTGCCAGGTGAAAGTTGATGTTGGATGAAGAGAAGAATATCACGCTTCTATGCCAGGCAATCTTGGATTGGAGAAATAGCTGGTTGCAGGATGGATAGCGAGGTAGGAAAGATAAAGAACCTGGATGAAATTATGAAAGAAACAGATGGGCTTTCATCGCCCTTTTAATTCTCTTTCTTCTTTGGAATTGTAACAATTGATATCCAAAATGAAGATGAGATGATACAAGAAAGAGAACTTGTAATTAATCTGCATGTCCAAAGACTTTTACCCTCCTTTCTCCCTTCGCTCGAACGAAGGTAAGACAAGAATAAAGATGCCCCAGTCTTTTAAATGCGCTCTATGTCTTCAGCGTTCTTTGGAATGCAAAGGATGTCTTGGGCTTGTGGGCGAGTTTCTGCACGAAGCCGCGTGGTGGGGCGAGTCAAACGTTTTGGACTGTGCTTTGCACATGCAGGGTGGCCCAACTAGCGGGCAAGATGCGTCACAGGTGTAAGTTAGCGGGCCCCATATATGTTGAAGCGTTCGGGCTGGGAATGCCGGTCCATGTGCTGACCAGAGTCGTCTTGTTGATTTGCTGGTCTTAGGGCAGCAAACACACCACCCCGCTTCTTGTGACCGAAATACTTCAATGATCCTGCTTTTTGCGCTGAAAGCAGCCTTTCACTTATAGATTGCAGTCGCAAAAAGTGTGAGAGTTATGAGTCAAAGGGGCTTGCGCCACGCAGAACAAAGGGAGCTCGCCGGACCAGCTCATGAAGGGGGAAAAACAGGCAAGTCCGTTTCAAAATTGCGAAGTATGCTACCCGTGTACTTGAAGCAGAGCAATGAGCCAAACTTAATAAATTGCCCCAGTTTCGATGAGCGCAAGCAGATTGACAGGGTTGCCAACTCAACCTGCCACCAGTTCCACCCATTCAACCGAGCCGCCAGCTGTTGACTGACATCGTGGAGAAAGCAACTTTTGGGGCGCGTCGCTTCTGTCGAGATACTTCGGGACCCGCCTCGATCGATGCAATCCCGAGGAGTGCAAACACGCGGGCACTCATGTCACAAGCCTTCCGTCTTCAGGAACCGCTGCTACACAATTCTAATCTCTGAGACAGGCCTCCAGGACCAACGTTTAATCAGCGCGCACGTTCTGCCGAACATTTTCCCACACACAAGCATGTTTGATTTCACTCCCAGCCAAACTACAATGATATCGCAATTGCGGACGCCCCGCGGGGCGGCCACCCGCAACTACCTTCACAGACCGCCTTCTCCCCCGAGTCCGTGTCTTTGTCCGGTTCAGGGTCAAGGGAGATTTGTTACTCCGACAGGAACATTATTGAAGACGAGCTACTCGTCAGCGAAAATCTTCTCCGTTTTCGTCATCTTGCGCGAGCCACCAGGCAGAGCTGCGATCCTAGCCAGCCGCCTAGTCAACCGCAACAAAGCTTCACGCCGACGCAGCAGAGTCTGATTGAGCCATCCTATGAGGCTGCTTGTCCGCATAGGATGTTTGTGGAGAAGGATGACCTACACAGCCGCTCAACCTGTGATGGAATGTCACTGATTCCAGTGGCGCAGGAAGAACTGGCGAACTAGTGGGAGTTGTGTGCATTAGATTGAGCAAAGCAAAAAGCGCGCCAGACACCCAGGGCGGATGGTCGGGTCGGTGCTTGTGTGCTTGCGTGACTGCGCTGCGCCTGTGCTAGTCTTAGTGTGTGTGAAAAAGCCTGATAACAAAGGCCAGCGTCATATTTGCACTGGTGACCAGAGCGGCAGGGGCAGAGGCATCCACATCAGCACCTCTGCGAACCAAGCCGGCTGATGCGCGGTGGGGATATGGCCTGATCAACCGCACGTACCTACATATTTCTTTCGATATCTGCAGCAAAGAAGACAAAAAGGACTGCCACTCCTTTCGCGGAGCTCTCCCAATGTGTGTTCGTTGTTGATGAGTGTTTTCTGTGTTTGCGTGTTTCATCTTTCTTTGACGCGTTGTTTGCTTGCATTGCTGCTGTCCTGCCACGCGTGGCCAACAAACGAAGAGGATGCTGCCATGCTGCCCGTCCGAAAAGCGGTTCAGTAGGGTCTTCAACTCCAAACAAGTCGTGGTCAAAATAACCAGCGGCCTATGGTTCATTTGGGCGGGGCATGGGACTCTTCAAGTTTGCCAAGTTTTTTGGGGGGAGTTGATTTGGAAAGTGGTTCAAGGTTGACTCAAAAGGATCAACAGCGGCACAGCATTTCCGTGGAGGCCCTTCGCCATGTGAACGCTGAACGAAAAGACACAGCAGATATGTTTCAAAGGGTTTATCATGGTTTATCATGGTCACAGCATGGTTGCCTGCGCGGTTTGTCCAGGGAAAGTGTTACTTAGAATATGGGTGGATGGTAGTGATATAGTACATTGGAAGCAAGCAAGAAGGAGAAGGGTTTTTCTCTGGCCAGGTGCAGTCTCGAATCGAAGAGATCGATGAAAAGCAACGAGAGGTGCAGTTTGGGGCAGTGGGGAGGGCTGGACACGGCTGCTGCAATCTAAGATGGTTGCTGCTGACACCCAATGCGTCATATCGCACAACATGCGGTTTACAAGCACCATACGCTAGAAAATGTGTATCCCTCCCTGAGAAAATTCTGAGAACTTGTGCGACACTTTCAGAGAAGGTTCCTTGGAATCTGTCCCAAGGAATGGGGAGGTCATTGGTTAGCGCTTTTGGCGCATGGCAACCATGTGCTCGAAAGTTTGCCAGGGTTGCCACTCACCCTGAAAAACCAAGCGGTGGCTTCATGTGTAAACCCTCCAATCAATCCTTTTCTTTTGCCCCATTTTATCAAACAAGCCAAACTGGGGGGATCAGCCCTTTTATGACACCCGGGTGCCAGCGCACCTGGCTATTTGGGGTGAAACCTTCAAAACAGAATTCTGACCACGTCGGCAAGTTTGCTTTTGATCATGACACTGTGTCGGGTTGAAAAACAGAGAAGGAATAAACAACACGGATTCTGTTTTTTTTTTTTTTTTTGTGGGGGAGTAAGCTCTGGATACGCAAGCGACTGCTTCAACTCCCATGAAAGCGAAGAATCCTCAAAAGGAGGCCACATGTTTTCGACGGTGCCATGTGCTTGCAGGAGGTAGCTTGCATTCCGGGCGGCTTCCCCCCTCAAAAATTGGTTTTTCGGTGTCCTTTCGAGTTCCCTGTTTCCTATTTCTTTGACAAACAACCAGTTGCAGCCGCCGTTTCCAACAGTCACTCGTCAAAGAGGCAACTGTTCAACAGTTGTTCAACTGGGGAATGTTGAAATACCAACTCAAGACGGGGAAAAGTTTACTGTAAAGGGAAACCAAAGGGAAGCTGGAGCCCAGTTTGGGGATTGGCGAAGGTGGTTTCCCATCTGAATGCCACGGACTGAAGGAACCCCAGTTCAATGATATCATCCAGGTGCTCAAACCGATCATTTGCAACCGCGTGGCAGAATCCATTGATCCCACCAGTTCGTGCGCGGAAACTCGAACCTCAAGTCGATTATAGTTGATGCTCCGAGCCTCTCAACAATTTCACGCCCCCAATTTATTTTGCTGGTGCGTTCTGCCAATTCTCATTCCCGGCCTATCGCGCCAGCAAGTGCAGGTGCGGGAAGCCCAGGAGCGGCTCAAGGAGAGGAAGAAGGAGCTGGCTCTCGCGGAGGAGGACCAGAAAGATGGAAGGTTTTGGTTCGCTCCTTTTGGTTGCCCCTGAAATGGAAGCCCAAGGGAGAAACACGTTTATCATGGGGGCTGGGGGGGAGGGAGGGGAGGGGGAGGTAGCCCAAATAAGCCCTTCTTAAGCCCTTAATGAGGCCTTATTTCAGACTTATTTGGGCCCCCCCTAGCCCCCAGGAGGTTTGGATGCTCCCTCGCCGAGGTCTGAGTTTCCTGCCGGCTTCCTTTTGGTTTCCCTTGTGGCGGCATTCATCTCGGCGTGGAACCAAATTTGGGGGCAGAGCTCGGCTCGACTCGATGCAGAAAGTTCAGAGGTCGGTTGGGCCATCTACTCAGGGCCAGAAGTTGTTGCCAGTGCCCCCTTGACATGAAATCAGGTCCGGTTTCTGGCTGAAACTCTCAACGCACCTTATCAAATGTACAAAGGAGTAGCTTGAAAACCACTTTCCGCGAACGCTTTGTGCTGGAGGAAACGAGATCCTTCACTTGGGAAGTTGTTGCCTACCAGGTTGATTCCGGTGTCGGCCCATTGCAGCGTGGGTTCTCACCCCAGGAGATGCGGAAGGCGGAGGACAGGCAGAAGGACCTCAGGGAAAAGCTCAGTGCTGCGCTGGAGCAGTCCGGCACCGAATCCCTCAAGGCCGGAGGGGGGGGAGGGGGGGAGGAGGGGGGGGCGGGGGGAGGAGTGTCTTAAGATTGGAAAGCCCTGAATGTGACCTTGGACATATCTCTTGTCACTTAGTTTAGCTGGTTGTCAAGTTGCCCGGTGCTCTTACAACAAGATCGCAAGAGCATCCCTGATTCCTGAAAGGAGTCGCAGATCACGTCCTAAACGGCATGGGTTGCCAAGCTTACGCATTGGCTTCAGTTGCAGTAAGAGCTTGTGGTTTGGATAAGGTGTCAGGCCTTTGGGGCCAGTGATGTCTTACCCAGTGGCCCAGTGGTGCCATTGTTCCCTTTTTGGGGGGAAGGGTTTCTGTTTGCAATCAGCCAACAAAAAAGGAGGTGCCCTTTTGCTTCCCACAGCCAGCGGGCTTCTGAATTATTCATGATCTCTTTTCGAGGGGGAAACCAGGAGAACCACAATTTGTTGGGTTCCCCCAAAAGAAGACACACCCATATGTCAGCTTCACTGGGCAGTGCTGTGCAGTCAGAAGCAATGCAGTGTTCCCATTCTTCCCGATCAGCTTTTAGAGCTTACAAGCACTGGAGGACTGGACGCATGTCGCAGGAAGCCTTCGCACGCCTTCGCACGTTGAAAGGTTGGCGCACGGAAATTTTGTGAAGGTGAAATGGTACACTCAAGAATCAACGCCCCAGGTCGTAGATGTCATGACAGGATGCAGGTGCTTCTAACCGCAACGGCCATGATCAAAAGGAGGCCGACGATCATAATGGCGACTACGAAGATGCTCAAGATGATGGTGATGAAGACGCTGCTGCTGCTGATGAGGGTGATGGTGATGGTGATGGGTGATGGTGATGGGTGATGGTCATGGTAAACAAATGCTGGTGCTGGTGCTGGTGGTGCTGGTGCCGGTGGCGGTGATGGTGATGTGGCGGTTTGTTCTCAGCGAGTCCAGAGTTCCAAGCCTGATTTCAAGCCACTCACAAGTCCATCCCCACCCCTTCGTACCAGAATCGGCTGGAAGGAGGCTACGTTGCAACACGAGGCCCGACTTTCTGGTTCTTTCCGGTTTCTTTATACCAACCCAAGAACAGGTCGCCTCCAAAAAGAAGACGGTCCAGGTGCCAAGAAGCCAACCTAGGTCCCCCAATAGTGCCCTTCTGTACCCTTTTTCGGGGGAGGGTTCCCCTACTAAAATGACTACACAGAAAAAGTTGGTACCCGTATTCTAACCTCTCTACTGGAGGACCTAGGTGTCATGGGGGCTTGAGGGCGAGGCAACCAGCGACTCGTTTCTGCAGTCTTCTCGCGCAAGGCGCAGGAGGAGCAGATGAGGGCAGAGCTCAAGGAGAAGGCGCAGCAGCAAGCCCTGCTGGCAGGGCAGCTGGCGAAGGCCCAGGCGCGGTTACGCGAGACTCCAATCGGGCGACTCAGAAATTGGTGTATAGACATATGTAAAATTATATAAAGAAGCATACATAAAAACACAAAAAGGCTACCTCCCCCGCCACAAAAAAAACAGACAAAGAAACACATACCTGTTAGACAGGTGGGATGTTTTTGACAGAGGCAATTGCTTCAAATTGGAAGGCCATGGAGTGGATGAGCCAGCAAACTCAGTGCCTTTTTGCACCCCGGCCAAAGGGCAATTTTGCATCTACATCATACTATTCCCCTAGTACTACCACAATGGCTTGGTATTGCCCCAGTATTGCCCTAGTATTACTTGAGTTTCGTTTGGTATACCATTTGCTCACTACCCCCCCTAATATTCGCTTCACATTATCATGCCTGAGAGAAGAAGAGGCTACTTCCCCCCCCCCCTTCGCGCCCGCTCTTCACTTTTTGCTTCGTTTGAAATCTCAGGGATCTCCCCTCGCTCGAAAACCGAACAAACAAATGGAGACAAAAACATACTCCCTGAGGGCAACTTGGCTGAAACGGAAAAAATAAACAAGATCGAAAAGGTAGGTGTGTTGTTTTTGTTGGGTATATATATATATATATTTATGCATACAGCAATATATATATATATATACCGTGAGGTTGTTTGTTTAATTTGCCCAACCGAATTTCAAATTCCCCAATACGGTGGTTCTCAGAGTTCTCCTTTTGGTTTTCCGTTAAAACCAACCGAAAAGGGGTTACTGGCTGTGTAGGGACGGATGGCAAACTGGCAGGAAGCGGCAACATCGACTGACATCTTCGAGTTTGTTTGACACGCACCCACCTAGATGTGATGGTTGACATCCATCAATGGTGCATCAACTGCATCTTAGATTCGCAGGGTTGCTCTAAGCCGGTCCCGAGATGACAGCACCCGCAGGGTAAAAAGTCGGTGCCTCCTTTGATTTCCCTTTTCAGGGGACAAAAGTTCGACCTTGTGACGGTTGGGTCTTCGAACTCAGCGGCCCTTCTTAGGGGGGCCAGTTGGATGCTTCTGAAACTGGTGAACCCCTTCTGTCTTTTGGTGGGACAGGGGAAGCAGCCCGTTGGGCCCCATTTGGCGAGCCAGGCCGAGCGCGAAACCCTGGAGAAGTTGTACCAGGCGACGGTCACCAGCGTTTTCGGCGGGGTGTCGTTTTCGGCCCTGGCGCAGCCTTTGGGTTTTTTGGTTTCCTGGCAGGGGCCTGTTTGAATGTATATGCTGGAGGTTCTTCCCAGACACAGCCAGGTGAAGAGGACCAGCCAAGAAACATGACTGCCCTATTCTGCCAAAGAACTGGCAATCCAATCGCGGCCGGGCCACCGAAATGTCCAATGTCATTGAGGGGGAACACAGCGCGTAATCAGTGGCTCACATTTGGAATGCACAAAGCTTTATACTCAACCGATTCACTTCCACCTTTCGTCCTGTCACGTCCAATGGCCGAGTCGGACACACGTGTCCCTGTGACTGTGCTGACGGGATTTTTGGGAGCCGGGAAGACTACCCTCTTGAACCACATCCTGGCCGACACCGGACACGGCCTCCGCTTCGCGATCATCGAAAATGAGTTTGGAGAGGTTGGGGTGGACGAGAAGCTCATCGTGAACAAGACCAGTTCTGAGGAGGAGGTGATCGAAGTGATGAACGGCTGCATTTGCTGCACTGTGCGAAGCGATTTGGTGGGCGCCCTGAAGCGCATGCACGGTAAGGTCCAGCAGTTCGACGCGGTGCTCATCGAGACCACCGGCATGGCAGATCCGGCGCCAGTGGCGCAGACCTTTTTCGTGGATGATGAAATCCAAGCGAAGTACCGTTTGGACGGCATCATAACAATGGTGGACGCGGCACACATTGAACAACACTTGGATGAGGAGAAGCCCGAGGGTGCAGAGAATGAGTCTGTGGAACAGCTGGCCTTTGCAGACCGCATCATTCTGAACAAGTGCGATTTGGTGGGTGGAACTGCAAGGACGGTGGTAGAAGAAAGGCAGCAGTGCCAAGATGTGGAAGGCTCTCAACCGGTTGAAGGAGAAAGTACCTTGAAAGCCGAGGAAAAGGAGGAGGCGCTGAAGAAGTTGGAGGCCCGCATCCGGAGCATCAACAAAGCAGCTCCCATCATTCGCGCTGAGTTCTCCAGAGTGGATCCCAAGCAGCTGCTGATGCTGAATGCCTTCGATTTGAACCGGGTTTTGGAGATGGACCCAGAGTTCTTACAAGCAAGTCCGGACGACCATGTGCACGACGCCTCGATCTCCTCCGTGGCTTGGTCCGTCCCTGGGCTCGAGTTGAACGTGAACCGCTTAGAACAGTGGATTGGCGTGCTGATCCGGGAGCTGGGCAACGATCTCTTCAGATACAAGGGCATGCTGGCCGTGAAGGGATGCGATCAGAAGTATGTTTTCCAGGGCGTCCACATGCTTTTCAGCGGGGGTTTCACCACTTCCAAGGAGGGGCAGTGGAAGCCGAGCGAGCCGCGCGAGTGCCGCTTCGTGTTCATCGGGAAGCACATCAAGCAGAACGGTCAGCGGTTGAAAAAAGAGTTCATGGCTTGTGCTGCAGAGGAGAGCCTCCGCTTCAGTGTGGGAGATATGGTCGAAGCCAGTCGTGCGAACGGCTGGAAGCCCGCCAAGGTCATTAAGCTTTGGGATGAGGGGAACCCCTACCGCTTAGAGTTGCAGACCAAGCGCAAGACCAACGTTTGGGGGCCCTTTGATGAGGATAGCTGTGTCAGGAAGCGAATCAAAAGCTGAAATTCCTCTGCAAGCCTTTCAAAGGCTTCTGGAGTTCTTTCACGACGATGTTCAAAGGACATTTTGTTCCATCCCACACAGGGATGGCTTTTGCACGCTACACTGCTGCATATCGAATGTCGGAAGTGAGTCTTTTTCAGTTTGCTGCCTGCAAAGGCCTTAGAATGCATTGAGGGGTGGTGTTTCTCTACTCGCAGCGCCAGCTTCCTGTAGCGCCGCGCTTGGCAGCAAGAGCCCTTGAAGCCGTAGCCAACGCACACGAAAGAAAGTCTTTGCGTGTGGTGGTGCATATGTGGGGAAGCATTCATGCTTGTTTTTGAACCCCGGATCAATAAACCCCTGGTTGATTAATAGAGGGGTGTCCCCTTTTCGTGGGGATTCATCACTTTTGGAGGGAACACCCCCCCAATAATGGGACAGGTTTATTAGTCTTGGGTAAACATTTTGTTCATTGCGATGTTGATCAATGGTGGGATATTTCTCGCAGCCACGTAACCGGTGCTGCCAGTATCTCATAGCAAGTGTCGAAGTGTCTCAGCACAGCCGATTGCATCTGGGCGCTGCTCTTGGCTGACCGTTGGCAGTTCAAGGTCAGGCGCAGCTCGGCCAGCAATTGGAAATCCTGAGACTTGCACATTTGAGTTGGCCGGCGGAGGCAGAATCATGCAGATTTATGAGCAGAGTGCCACCCAGATCACCCTGCGTTCTTTTGCCTCATGTTTTTGTTTGAGCCGAAATAAAAGGGACCCTCTCAAGGAGGGTGTTCAGACTGCACCAAAACTGACAGTGAAAGATGTCTTCTGGAGTTGTTCACTCCAACCTACCTCTGAGATCCCGGGCCAAGAGGTAGACAGGAGGTCAAATCAGATAAATCAGCAGCTGAGGGCGCGCCAACGCATCTCCTCACCGGTTTTCAGCAGCCCATTGCTCCGCACTTGGCACTGCCGGATCGCAGGAAGAAGAAAAGAAGCGCATTGAGCTCGAGCAAAGCATCGAGAAGAAGCGTCACCGGCCAAAGCAAGACGAGGACGGAGGTGTAAGACGCATCCTCAGGTCTTGCGTGCACTTGCTTCTTTTCAGAGAGTCACTGCAAAAGCCCTATTGGGAACGGAACAATCACCGTTGTCTTGAGCTTGTGGGCACACAGATCTTGATGTGAACTCGGCAGATATGGCTTTAGGGGCAACCTGCAAAATACTTGAATGCTTGGTTTTGGACATGTTGCACTTTCTAGTTTCTCTTTCACCCCATCCCAAGAAACGGCGACCAGCTCCCAAAAAAGCGGAGCCAGCCCCGAGCCCCGCCAAGCGACTGGGAAGCCTCAGGACGGCCGCGCCACGGCCCCGGAGCTGGCGGCGCTGCGGCTGTCCCAGCAGAAGGGCGCCCGGGAGCTCTACTGCCGGCAGGTGGCAGGCGCTTCGGGGGCCTAGGAGGTGGGCCAAAGGGAAAACAGCACCTTTCAACAAGAAAGCCCTCAAAGATTGGGAGGCCATGGGAAGTGGGGGAAAGATATTCAGGTGGGAAGACAGATTGAAGACAGCCCAGGGGCGCTTGCAGAGACGTGGAGCGCAGCATCCGGTTAGGTGAATTGACAGAGCTTCACCTTCCCGCCTTTGTCACAACAAGTGAGGGTGATGCTTGGCCTTGAGGTGGTTCAGAATCGTGCTTGTTCCAGATCCAAGGGAGGAGTTTGCATACGTGAACCGTTCTTGGCAAGCTGTTCAGGAAACCAAAAGGAACACCGCCATTTTGCGGGGTTCCGTGGGTCCCATGAAAAACACACCCACACACAGAAGGATATCGAACGGAAAACCGGATAATTCTGGTCTATGGCACATTCCAGGCTCGCTGCTTCTGAGCCAGGCATGGAAGAACTCCTGCCTTTGGCGGAATCGCCGAAGGCCATTCCGGCGCAAAAGGCTCTGGAGGATTGCCTCGGCAAGTGCCCCGTTGCCAGAAGTGTCACGCGGGGAAAAAAAACAACAACCTTGGAAATGTCTCAAGTTTCTAGAGATTTTTTGCAGATGTGAAGTGACAAAATCGGACTTGTTTGTCCCAATCTCAACTGAATTTTGGACCCGGGGTACACAATAATCAGTCCACAACGGACTCGCCAACAATTCAGCGGATTTGGCATCTCGGCCCCTGGCTTTGCAGGCCCTTAGGGACTTGAAACCTGATGCTTTGGGAGGCCAGCGACTGTCAATCTCTCAAAATGCAGCCGAACGTGTCACTGGAAGCATGCGTTCAAATGCACAAATATACGCACACACACACACACACGCTGCAAAACCGCATATTATGCGACCACATGTACTGTGTTCGTTGCAAAAACAAGGTAAACACAAGGCAACATGAGCCAAACATGAATATCACGCCTGATTTGTTTTGTTGCGCGTCGCTCGGGGTATGGCATTATTTTTGCAATCAGAAAAACACAACTCAGAACAGAAGCAATATACATGGACATACTCCAATTTTGTTGAGTAAGTACGCATCCCCCTTTGAGCAACATAGCAGAGCTTGGGGACGAAAAAGGTGTGTCTCTTACCAGGCGTGAGTAGTTCTACTGACGAAGAACATGACGCACATTTGAGATTGGCAGCTTGCCCCGAGTTGTTGAGCGCTTGCGCGCGCGCGTGCCTTTGCCGAAGCGCCGCAAGAGGGACAGTTGCACATCAGGCTGCGGAAGCCAAGCCGAGTAGGCAGCAAAGCCATCAAATCGAAATGTTCCTAAGGCCTGCAGAGTCACTGCAGAGTTCCAGATCCGAGCGCCGGCAATTTCCAAGCTGGCTGATGTCCAATCCTGGTCAAAGAAGCGTTCCTAGGAGACCGTGTTTGTGGGGAAGCCAGAACGGCGGCTGGTGGCATGAGAGGGCCCCTGACAGCCTCGGAGGTGAATTTCATTTGGGATAGCCATAGGACCGATTTGTCTGAGGCCGCCTTCGTGCAGGTACACCGTGCTGCGAAAAGGCTTGCTCAAAGAGCTCAGCAGCACTCGCATCACCAGGCGGGGATGCTATGCAAGGGTCCTGGAGAGCAAACATAGAGCAACTAGGTCCCCCAGTAGTGCCCTTCTCTACCCTTTTTTGGGGGAGGGTTGCCCTACTAAAATAGACTACAGAAAAAAAGGGTACCCTTATTCTAACCTCTCTACTGGAGGAGCTAGGCAAACATACAGCAACATTGCCCCATGAAAGTTGGCTTGGAACCCTGGAGGTAGATTCTTCCACAAATGTCTATGGGTGTGTTGGGATTCCGTGTAAATGTTTGTTGAGTTGAGAAGTTGTCTTTCCTACTAGATCCTGATGTCAATCCTCGTATTCCGGGTGGCTCGCTGGTAGGATTGGAATCCCTGGCAACTGTTCAACACTGTGGGGCAGGCTGTTGTTCTATCCGCTGATTGGCTATAGCTGTGTGAGCCGTGAATCGATCAGTGTCGCCTCCATCCCCACACGAACCAAGAAAGTCAAGAACAGTTTAGAGTTGAGCGCAACGTGTGGGTGCACTTGCTGCTAGATTTACCGGGCAGTGATGTATATACGCAGATATGAGCTCATAAGATTGTCTTGCTGTGGGGGGGGGGGTTCAGGCAATGTTTTACTCACGGCTTCGTTTGGATACGAGTTTCATGTGTGCTTCTGAGTGCAACTTTTGGGTATCTTCGAGGCACCCATTGGCCAAACCCGGTGAACAATGAGGTTTAGAAATGAAATTCCAACCCGACTTGTTAAAAAAGACCCCTATGCATGAATGGAGGGTTTTTTGAATTTCGTGGAGGCTCATCACTTTTGAAGGGGAACATCTCCCCATATTGCTCAGCAGGTGTTTTGTATTCCAGGGTAAACATTAGAGGATTTGTAGACCCAACCTGACGGTCGCACTTCCAACCGGGCGACAGGCTCGGAACTCGCGAGGACGACGCGCGGGCCTGAAATCGGTGGATTTGCGGTAAGCTGAGCGGGTCGTTGCGAATTCTGAGGCGCCCGCCAGACGAGTACAAGAGCCCGGGGCCCTTCCGAACGGAAGCAACAGGAGCAAAACGCACCGCCCGGTGTTGTCAAATTTGCTTGCAGATACACAGCTGTTGAGGTAAAGGAGGAGTTGCAGATTCTGAGGGTAGTTGTTGTTCGCGCTAACAGCTGTCTCGCCAACCCCACGAATATCATGCATCATGAAAGTTGAACTGGACAGTTATTTGCAAACCCTTTGGCCAACCGTTCACATTCGCGTATTGGGAGCTTGCTTGGTTACGTGCAAAATCTCGGACAACATTATTACTGTCACGCACTTATCCTATCCTGCTTGGCTACTTGCAAGCCCTTTGTCCACGTGTATGGTCACGTGCTGGGGAACCCACTTGGTTGACATGTTTTGGCTCACGTCTTGGACACGTGCGAGCTGCGTCCAAGGACTAGGAATCCTGTTTGGTGCATGACTGTGCCATGAGTCATGGTTCACGAAGCACAGTTTGTTCACGTATCGTAACAGTGTCAGAGTCAGATCCATAGTTTTGACCCATGCCAGCCTGCTGATGGGGGGGGGGGGGCGACACACCCAGTGGGCTTGTTTCTCCCACATTGTCAGGATGAAACAAGCCTGGCATGGTGACATGAACAAACCTCGAAGCCGTCTCGCGGCAAACAACTCATGGGCGCATTTTCTGTTGTCGGTACCCTGTTTTGTTGACCTTGACTCGGGGGAAACAATGGCGTTCTCCACATGCCCGTTTTCCCGTAACAAGACATGCCCATTCTACCCCATGAGACAGAATGAGGCTCTTCGCGTCAAACTCTCATAGATTTCTCATGAGTTGAACCGCCGGAGGCTTCATCTGAAGCTCTCAGAGTTGCGCTCTTCCATGATGGACGTTTCAACGCAGAAGGCGCAGGCGAGTCTGGCCTCGCTAGAGCTTGCTCCAGGCTTTCGTAAATCGACAAACCAAGGGTAAGAGTTGCTTTTTAGTTTTTTTTGTGGGTTCCCTCCATAAACGCCACACTCTCCAAACATGGACCTGCAGGATGGTTTTTTGCATGACCATACCTGTTCAAGCGGACCTTCCGGTTGATTCCAGTCCATGACAATTGGTGTTCACACGGAGATTTTGAACCCAGCAGGTGCCGACGCAAAGCCAAGGCCGCGAGCTCAAGGGTTAACGGAGTTGGTCTCTCTGAGTGAATCAAATACGGTTTTCAGTATGGGTTAGGACTGCCCACCAGTTTTTGAACAGCTCAGAATATGATTGTTTCTTCAATCCTTGGGAGGAGTGAGTGCTCAAAAAACATGACTGCAAAGGCAAACTCTTGGAATACCGGTCCCTTCCTCATCCGACTTTCCGCCTTCATGGGTTGAGATCTCAGCATCACTGGGGCGTGTCGCTTGCTGGCTTGCGCAATGCGGTTTGTTCTACAGGGCTCCTTAAAAGATACATTTTGCCCATTTGAAACATGGTTTTTCCACGAAAATAAAGGGACACCACCATTCACAAGGCAATGTTATGGTTTACTATCATCTGGTCGTAGATCCTGTGAGAATGAAAGAAGCTGCTCGCCTCAGCTTCGCCCAGTTGCCCGCCAAAACGGAAGTGATCGGGTTCGTTCTGTCCCTACCACCAAGTAAACTTGGGCTCCCCAAGTTTAAGACGCAGCGGCAAGCGCCGCCAAATGCATGGCCGTTTGCCTGGAGACCAGGATCGAGTTTGGATTGGGATCCCCAAGGTTTTTCGAATCACATCCCAATTAGGAACCCCACGTGTCAAATACCCTTCTTGTGCGGGTCCTTCATTGACGTTCCGAAACAGTACAGCAAAATGCTGCAGGTGATGTAAAGGCATTTCAGCATCCGGAAGGATTCGACCCAAGCTCATACACAGTCACTTAGTGAGTTCTTCTAGTTGCCGTTTGCCCAGAAAGTGAGTTCTTCTAGTTGCCATTTGCCCAGAAAGTTAAATCGATTTGTGTCAAAATAGGAGGCACCTTCCAAAAAAATAAACAAAAGTGTGTGTGTTTTTTCTCTTGAAGCCAACCTGAGAATTGGGTCCTCCCAACAAAAGGAACAGAAACGGAAGGAAAGGGTCCTTCCAAAGTTCTGCGCCTTGCCATGCTTTTGCTGAGGCAAAGAGGTGCTGAAGCTCTCCCTGCAGGTGAAGCCTCCAAGGCGATTGGATCAGAGAAACTTGGAGAGTCTTCAACTAGGACTCCGGCTGTTTATTGGGGATGCCCTCCAAGATGGCAGACATGCCTCGTCAGGTAAATGTTGTCCTGGTTCTGGTCAATATTTCGAGAACCTTTCAATGGTCTGGCTGGTGTTCGATAAGTAGGGAATGAGGCAACGCACCCACGGGTCCCCTTAAAGGAAACCACCAGTTGGATGGTTGATACTGGTCATTCCATTGCTCATTCCCTGCTGACCAGCAAGTTGCTTATTTTGGGTCCCTGCAACTTGCAACCCCCCTTGGCCGTCTCTGGTTTGGCAAGGATGGGGGTCCCTGAAAGCGCCCCAGTCAGGTTCCACGTTGGTTGGTGGGTTTGTGACTCCCAAAATGCGGGGGGGCATTGGCGACAGAGGCCCGTAAAGTGAGCGGGCATTTGGAGGGACCCGTTCTCATCATTAGTTTTGCCCGTAGTTTCTTTTCTAAGCCACTATCTGGAGTACGATTTTGAGGCTGCCACTTTGGACTGCAGCCCCGGGGCCCAACTAAAAGGAAAAAGCCGCAGGAGGTATGGCCCATGTCTTTTGTGAGTTCGAATCACTGGATTCGCACAGAATGGGTTTAAACCACTACAATGTGACCCCCCCCCCCCCCAAAACCGACAGTAAGTTTTCAAGAGAGGTGTTAACAGATTGCCGTCGTTCGGGAATCGCCGGTCGGCTGGTCCATCGTTTGGGGAGGTGAGTAGAGCCTCGTCACAGGCCCCCATTTATGTCTTCAAATTGGATGGACCAAATCCAAGTAGCTGATTTCCTGGCTGGTTTTCCCTCAAGGCCATCTCAAAGAGCCAACAGAGGCGCTCGGCCTTTTGGGACAGACCCGTTCGAGAATGTCCAGAATTGACACGGACACTCCAAAACCTTTGAGCATCCTTTGGCCTGCCGTCGAAAGCACACCAACGAAATTTCGACATATGGGGGTTGATCAATATTCCTGACCCCCAAATGACTGTGAGTATGTTTTGCCATTTAGTGGAACATAGACCATTTTTCGTGGTTTCCCCCAATGGTCGTATGCAAGGAACCCTGTGATCAACCCCCATATGCCAATTTGATCCAGTCCCAGAAGTTGAAGAAGCACAAAGCCTGTGTTGCCCGACCCTCGAGTTGGTGCAGGAATGGCAGGGCCAGCCGGTTCAAACGGGACCTTGGACAATGAACACCTGGGCAAGGCTTCTACACAAAAGGGGAAGATCGGCCACCTATTCATGTTGCGGAAAAACGAAAAATCGTGATAAACATTTGCTGCTTGCATGGTGTTCCCTTGAAACTAAACCGAAAAGCAACGGCTGTGGCCGATCCCAGCCCCTTCTAGAGAGGTGAAACAAATCCGTCGACACGTTTCTGGGGACAGGGGGCAAAGCTGTTGACTGCAACCTCCCCCAACCCGCCAAGCCCCCAAGCCCCCAAGCCCCAGGTGGGCAAAAGTGTCTGCCGCGGCCTGAGAGATACGCCTTGCTGCATTCCCGTGGCCTGAGCCGTGTACCCGCTTGTCACCCATTCGCTGGGGGTACCCTGGACTCATCACTAAAGTCAAGTCTTTGTTGCTTTATGTTGCTTTGCTTCCAAAGCCAAGTGCATTTGAGCAGAGTTTTTCTTGCGGTAGACATATGAGGCCCCGCATAGGCACATTACTGCAGGCGCGTAGGCGCGCGTAGCCACTTTTTGACAGTCGGCTGGGCAGCTTCTCGCGTAGGCACCGCGTAGCCTCGACTTGACAAGTTGCTAGTGGGTGCGCGCGCGAGTTTTAGCACGAAACGCACACTGTGTAGGGACTTTGAGAGCAAACCTCCAACCGCG